TCATCTGTAAAGCGGCTCTGCGGGAAACAGTGATGTCATCATCAGCTCAGCTCAGTCAGATCAATAATAATGTTGGATATGAAGTTCCAGCGACAGCAACACAAACTCCATCAGGGACCGAATGGAGGAAACCAGCTCTGGACAACGATTATGATTATGATTCAGACTGAGGATTGATATCATTCAGAATATTTCATCCAGTTTCTTCTGCGTGTTTCTTCATGCTTTCTGTTCAGTCCCTGCAGACAAAGAGTGTGAGACCCTATTGGTCTCCACAGCAGCACTCTGTGCGAGTGTGTGTTGCTGCTGTTGTGTATTGTTTGTTAAAATGATGATGTATGTTCTCGTGTGTGTGTGTGTGTTTAGTTGGCTGCTGTATGTGGATCCGTGGTACCGTGGCTCATGTGTTGTTCTGGAGGAGGGTCAGACTGTGAAGACCAGCAGAACCGATGCCGATCCCGATCCCAGTGCTGTTCTCTCTGTGGGATCCGTCAGGACGCTGAAGGTATCAGGAGCTGCCGCTTTCTCAGGCCTTTCCATTACTATAGGTTATATTAGTATATAATTAATAGAGTATTAATGCAGAAAATGGTACATACACTAATGGTACATATGATTTTGAACATGTTGCGCTGTATATTTGAATGGTGTATCTTTGAAACACTGCTGTGATCTGCAACTCTCTTGTGGTGTCGAGACAAGTTATGCCCTCCAACAGACTTAAATGAATATAAATGTATTGCTTATAGCACCACCTTGTGGCAGATTCTGCAGATCTAGTCACCCTGTATGTATGCGCTACATTTCATTATGAACAGCCGTAGCAGTGACACAAAAACGGTCTCTAAATTGTTTGCTGCCTATTGCCTAATTTGTCATACATCCTGAAAATGTCCAGTTTTGTTAACTTTGTGTTCACAAGATGTGTAGGCGAGTTCACCAGTCCTGGCCATATCAGATTTCTGTGGCGTATATCCATAACTGGGAAACCATGATACTGGGTATTAAAGGGTTAAAGACAACACAGTCTTCACTTCAATGATCATGTTTTACGCCAGTGTTTGACTTTGATTTTTACCCCAAACTGAAGACATGCAGCGCATACATTTTTTGTGACTGTACGTGTTAATATATTTAATATATTGGTAGTGTGTGTGTGCCTTTATATTCCAGCACTGTTCCGCACTGTATACACGAACGAAGGGAGGCAGAAATATAAATCATACTGTAACAAGCTTAAAGGCTCAGGGAACCAGCGAACGTTCAATGTAACTTTAATAATAATAAAAGAAACATAAACAACCAGTCAGGTGAACGAACAGACATGGATCAGGCTCTGTGTGTGTATTGTGTGTTCATGAGCTCTGCTGGAGTTAAAGTGTGTGTTCTGTTCAGGATGACCGTGTTCCAGAGATCCATCTGTATCCCAGCACGTCTCAGCCGATCCGTGTTTCCTCCGCGACGGACCTGCCGGAGCGGGACGGGCCCGTGTTGCTCTCGCACCTCTGCGTCAGGACCGGATGGTAGGGAAGGCCTGTCCACATCAGACACCATCTGAGATCTACAGTGTCATGAAACCCCGTTTCAGCCTGGCCGTTCACGGTGGTGATGTGCAGATGTGTTTTGGGGTTTCATGACCCTTTAAAGAAAGCAGGAAGTTTGATCTTAGTTGATCTGGGCAGAAACCATAATTTATTTTTGTCATTTTCTTGATCACTAACTGGTCGTTTGAAGTGTTTCTAGCATTGCCACGAGGGTTAGAGACCAGGAGCGTTTCACCAGTCCACCACGTCCAAAGACACAATTATTATGGATTATTAATTGGCCAAAAAAGTCAAGTCGAGTCTCCTTCATCTATCCAGCACTTTACCAGCACAGATGTTCCACAGCAGCTTTACAGTGATAACAGGAGATTACAGTAACAGAGAGTGTTTAGGCTTTACAGCAGCTCTAGAATAAAGTTATTGTCCAGATAAAGTTAGTTTTGATTGATTCACTTCCGTTGTAAAGATCATTTGTTATTAGCGGCCGCTGACACACACCGCTCTCTCTAACAGACTTTAAACTGAACCTGTGATTAACGCTGATGGCGTTCACATGCGCATTAAGAACTGATTCTATAGTTATGTGTGTTTGAATATGTGTGCGCAGGTTTGTAATTCCCTACACACCATGCCTAAACAAACTACTTGTCTTGCCTATAAGTTTTGATACAGAATTTTGTTTTATTTTATCACTTCGAGGTACGCGAACCGTAATTTCCACAAGGCTTTATCTGTAGAGTGGGAAAGGGATCCTCCATAGGGAGAGGATAGTGGATACTTCAGCACTGCGCTGTCATTGGTCCAGGCGAATCTCCTTCGTCAGATCTGGAGTGTGTGTGTGAGTGTGTGTGTGTGTGTGTGTGTGTGTGTGTGTGTGTCCAGGCGAATCTCCTTCGTCAGGTCTGGAGTGTGTGTGTGTGTGTGTGTGTGTGTGTGTGTGTCCAGGCGAATCTCCTTCGTCAGGTCTGGAGTGTGTGTGTGTGTGAGTGTGTGTGTGAGTGTGTGTGTGTGTGTGTGTGTGTGTGTCCAGGCGAATCTCCTTCATCAGGTCTGGAGTGTGTGTGTGTGTGTGTGTGTGTGTGTCCAGGCGAATCTCCTTCGTCAGGTCTGGAGTGTGTGTGTGTGTGTGTGTGTGTGTGTGTCCAGGCGAATCTCCTTCGTCAGGTCTGGAGTGTGTGTGTGTGTGTGTGTGTGTGTGTGTCCAGGCGAATCTCCTTCGTCAGGTCTGGAGTGTGTGTGTGTGTGTGTGTGTGTGTGTCCAGGCGAATCTCCTTCGTCAGATCTGGAGTGTGTGTGTGTGTGTCCAGGCGAAGGTCCAAGGTGCAAGCGTTAAAGTTTGATTAGCAAAGTAATTATTAAAAAAGTGGAATCCGCAGCTTTCTCTTACGAAGGACATGCTTGTGACATTTATTTATTTTGGGCAAGCCGTTAAAAAGCAGCCGGATGTTTATGTGTGCTGTCCTCGTTCCCTGGATGTGTGCAGCTGGCTGGTGTTTGATCAGCCTGGATTCAGCGGCTCGTCTGCCATTCTGGAAGCTGACGGCAGAATCACGCCGGTTCTCCAGGATCCCCTGCTGTCCCGTGTGAAGAGTCTTCGGCCAGTGGAACTGGTACATATTCACCCACAGACACGCTCTCCACAGGGCAAACATCACGCGACGGCAGCGAGCGCACGCTAACGTCTGCTGTGTTTCTGCTGTTTCAGGCTGGGCTGCGGGTGACGAGACCTCTGGACCCGAAGGTAAGACACACACAAACGGATGCTGATGTTCAGGGCTGTTCTCAGATCAGCGGATGGCATTTCTGTCTCCTGTGTAGGTGATGTTGTTTGAGAAGCCGCAGTTCCAGGGTCAGTGCTGGGAGCTTCTGGATCACACACCCCGTCTGAGGGACATCGAGGGACCCGCCGCCGCCTCCTCTCTACGGGTCACCGGGGGAGTGTGTGTGTCTCTGATTCTCATGAAACAAGTGATGCTGTTAATGTTTCAGATGGAAACATCTGCAAATTGATGAACTTCTGTAGTGACGAGTGACGACTGGCTGGAAGTGTGTGTGAGTGTGTCTGTATGTGTGTGTGTGAGTATATGTAAGTATATGAGTTTGTGAGTGTGTGTGTGTGTGAGTATATGTAAGTATATGAGTTTGTGAGTGTGTGTGTGTGAGTAAGTATATGAGTGTGTGAGAATATGAGTGTGTGAGGATATGAGTGTGTGAGTATATGAGTGTGTGAGTATATGGGTGTGTGAGAGTGAGTGTGTGTGAGTATGTGTGTGAGTATATGAGTGTGTGTGAGTATGTGAGTATATGAGTGTGAGTATATGAGTGTGAGTATATGAGTGTGAGTATATGAGTGTGAGTATATGAGTGTGAGTATATGAGTGTGAGTATATGGGTGTGTGAGAGTGAGTGTGTGTGAGTATGTGAGTATATGAGTGTGAGTATATGAGTGTGAGTATATGAGTGTGAGTATATGAGTGTGAGTATATGGGTGTGTGAGAGTGAGTATATGTAAGTATATGAGTTTGTGAGTGTGTGTGTGTGAGTAAGTATATGAGTGTGAGTATATGGGTGTGTGTGAGTGTGTGTGTGTGAGTATATGTAAGTATATGAGTTTGTGAGTGTGTGTGTGTGAGTAAGTATATGAGTGTGTGAGAATATGAGTGTGTGAGTATATGAGTGTGTGAGTATATGAGTGTGTGTGAGTATGTGTGTGTGAGTATATAAGTGTGTGTGAGTATGTGAGTATATGAGTGTGAGTATATGAGTGTGTGTGTGTGAGTATATGAGTATGTGAGTATATGAGTGTGAGTATATGGGTGTGTGAGAGTGAGTGTGTGTGAGTATATGAGTGTGTGTGAGTATGTGAGTATATGAGTGAGTGAGTATATGAGTGAGTGAGTATATGAGTGTGTGAGTATATGAGTGTGTGAGTATATGAGTGTGTGAGTATATGAGTGTGTGAGTATATGAGTGTGTGAGTATATGAGTGTGTGTGACTATATGAGTGAGTGAGTATGTGTGTGTTATTAAATATAAAGTTATTAAATACATTATAATGATTTGGAACAAATATAATGTAATTTAATGGAAAAATATACCAGGCTCTGTACAGTCGGCAGTGTGAATGTAAATGCTTCCCGTCCAGTGTGTGTTTCCATCTTTACACAGCAGCTGATGTTTCCATCAGTCACATGAACACACTGCTGGTCAGAAACACTCAGTGTGTGTGTGTGTGTGTGTTAGATGGGTGTGTTTCTCCAGCGAAGGGTTCAGAGGTCATCAGTGTGTGCTGGAGGAGGGGGAATACAGCGACTGTACGCGACTGTTCGGAGGAACTGAGCTGACGATCCAATCGCTGCGCTTCATTCAGACTGTGAGTGCTCCTGATGTTTCCATGACCTTTGACCCTCTTCAGCAGACCTGTGCTTGTGTAAATGCTTCAGACGACCATTATTTCATCAACTCAGTATTGTTGCTCAAGATCTTGTTTCACGTTTAAGTATTATGGAGTTAAAAATGAGAAAAAGTGGATGAGAAAAGAAAATTGAAATACCTTATCCGTGATCTTGTGTTTACTAATGTCCGCCACGTTCCCTCAGGACTTCCTGGAGCCAGCGGTGTGTGTGTCGAGCTGTGATGAGGAAACCGAGGTGTGTGTGGACGTGCCGGATCTGCAGGAGTCCGACAGCATCAGTGTGAAGAGCGGAGCGTGAGGAAGCTTTCAGAACCACAGTCAGAGCACAGAGAGCGAAGGCCTGCTCACACCAGATCTAGAACCCTAACCCAGATCTAGAACCCTAACCCAGTCAGAGCACAGAGAGCGAAGGCCTGATCACACCAGATCTAGAACCCTAACCCAGTCAGAGCACAGAGAGCGAAGGCCTGCTCACACCAGATCTAGAACCCTAACCCAGATCTAGAACCCTAACCCAGATCTAGAACCCTAACCCAGATCTAGAACCCTAACCCAGTCAGAGCACAGAGAGTGAAGGCCTGATCACACCAGATCTAGAACCCTAACCCAGATCTAGAACCCTAACCCAGTCAGAGCACAGAGAGCGAAGGCCTGATCACACCAGATCTAGAACCCTAACCCAGTCAGAGCACAGAGAGCGAAGGCCTGCTCACACCAGATCTAGAACCCTAACCCAGATCTAGAACCCTAACCCAGATCTAGAACCCTAACCCAGTCAGAGCACAGAGAGCGAAGGCCTGATCACACCAGATCTAGAACCCTAACCCAGATCTAGAACCCTAACCCAGTCAGAGCACAGAGAGCGAAGGCCTGATCACACCAGATCTAGAACCCTAACCCAGTCAGAGCACAGAGAGCGAAGGCCTGATCACACCAGATCTAGAACCCTAACCCAGATCTAGAACCCTAACCCAGTCAGAGCACAGAGAGCGAAGGCCTGCTCACACCAGATCTAGAACCCTAACCCAGTCAGAGCACAGAGTGCGAAGGCCTGCTCACACCAGATCTAGAACCCTAACCCAGATCTAGAACTCTAACCCAGTCAGAGCACAGAGAGTGAAGGCCTGCTCACACCAGATCTAGAACCCTAACCCAGTCAGAGCACAGAGTGCGAAGGCCTGCTCACACCAGATCTAGAACCCTAACCCAGTCAGAGCACGGAGAGTGAAGGCCTGATCACACCAGATCTAGAACCCTAACCCAGTCAGAGCACAGAGAGTGAAGGCCTGATCACACCAGATCTAGAACCCTAACCCAGTCAGAGCACAGAGAGCGAAGGCCTGATCACACCAGATCTAGAACCCTAACCCAGTCAGAGCACAGAGAGCGAAGGCCTGATCACACCAGTTCTAGAACCCTAACCCAGTCAGAGCACAGAGAGCGAAAGCCTGATCACACCAGATCTAGAACCCTAACCCAGTCAGAGCACAGAGAGTGAAGGCCTGCTCACACCAGATCTAGAACCCTAACCCAGTCAGAGCACAGAGTGCGAAGGCCTGATCACACCAGATCTAGAACCCTAACCCATTCAGAGCACAGAGTGCGAAGGCCTGATCACACCAGATCTAGAACCCTAACCCAGTCAGAGCACAGAGAGCGAAGGCCTGATCACACCAGATCTAGAACCCTAACCCAGTCAGAGCACAGAGAGCGAAGGCCTGATCACACCAGATCTAGAACCCTAACCCAGATCTAGAACCCTAACCCAGTCAGAGCACAGAGAGCGAAGGCCTGCTCACACCAGATCTAGAACCCTAACCCAGTCAGAGCACAGAGAGCGAAGGCCTGCTCACACCAGATCTAGAACCCTAACCCAGTCAGAGCACAGAGAGTGAAGGCCTGATCACACCAGATCTAGAACCCTAACCCAGTCAGAGCACAGAGAGCGAAGGCCTGATCACACCAGATCTAGAACCCTAACCCAGTCAGAGCACAGAGAGTGAAGGCCTGATCACACCAGATCTAGAACCCTAACCCAGTCAGAGCACAGAGAGCGAAGGCCTGATCACACCAGATCTAGAACCCTAACCCAGTCAGAGCACAGAGAGCGAAGGCCTGATCACACCAGATCTAGAACCCTAACCCAGTCAGAGCACAGAGAGCGAAGGCCTGATCACACCAGATCTAGAACCCTAACCCAGTCAGAGCACAGAGAGCGAAGGCCTGATCACACCAGATCTAGAACCCTAACCCAGTCAGAGCACAGAGAGCGAAGGCCTGATCACACCAGATCTAGAACCCTAATCCAGTCAGAGCACACAGAGCGAAGGCCTGCTCACACCAGATCTAGAACCCTAATCCAGTCAGAGCACAGAGAGCGAAGGCCTGATCACACCAGATCTAGAACCCTAATCCAGTCAGAGCACAGAGAGCGAAGGCCTGATCACACCAGATCTAGAACCCTAATCCAGTCAGAGCACAGAGAGCGAAGGCCTGCTCACACCAGATCTAGAACCCTAATCCAGTCAGAGCACAGAGAGC